TAGAAAAACGGTCGTAACTTCTTTTCGAACTACGTACACGAACCCTGAAAGCTAAACCTCTTCTTCGTAAGTACTGACTCGAGACCGGTTTCTTTTTTTGCTCTGGTGTGTACCATCAAAGGAGGGACAATACTCGGTTGATGCTGACTAGTATCTGTTACAAAACGATGCTTACAAGCTTCTACACGCACACACACACATACACGCGCGAAGAAGGGCAACGATGAACACGAGCGAAACTCGCGCTTTCCTTGGAATCTCGCAAACTTCGTCTTGGAATTTCGATCGTTGCTGCCACTCTGGGCGGTGGAGAAGGGCGAGGGAGGGACAGTTCTCTGGGAAGTGGGAGAAACATCTTTCTTCCTGAAATGTCTCGTCGAAGTTTACAGGCTTCAGATAGCTGTTTTCAAGTCACTTTTACTTTTTGCCGTTTTTTTCGTGTGAAATTTTGTACCGTATTTTGGAATCTTCACTCGATAAAGAAGGAATTTTGACCGGATGGCCATTTTTGAAATTTCTGATCTTTTATCAATTTCTATAATATACAGCGATCGCAAAAAAGCCTTATGTTTCAATAATCCTATAATTTTGTGTACGTACCATGCATAATATGAATCGTATTTTCTACTGTTACGAAAAGGATGTCAGAACTACATCGTCATTTAGCACTTCAAACTTTATATCCATGCAAAAGCTTGAGAATTCATTTAAACCGTCTTAAGAGCCGCACTCTTAAAAAACGAACACACGAAGCTCCTAAATTCTTTTCACACACAGCTTGTGGGGGGATATATATATATATATATATATACGCTTTGAAAAAAGAAGTCTTGCCCTCGTACCCGCATCCGCCTGTACATACTTGAAAACGTTTCGTTCCAGCTGCGAAACGGTTTAGCCTGGGCCTGGTTAAGCCACAGATTGACGCGACCGGTGCACAGAGAGAGCAGTACGACGGCAGGCAAACGAGAGTGACACCGGTCGCGCAGGGGTCGATGCCAATCGATCGCTACGGCGAAATATCGTGGCGAAAGTTTGCGGAAAAGTGATAATTCCAAACACACATTGCTTATTCGTGCAGCATCGAAGGAATGGATATAGAACGAGGATAACCAAGACGGTAGGAAGTACGGGTGTAAAACGAAGGGAGAGACAGAGAAAGGGAGAAGGCACACGGTGGGAAAGGGAGAGAAGAGAGGATGGAGAAGTAAGCAGGCAGGCAGGCAGGCTGGCTGGCAGGGCAGGCGTTGGAGAACCGAAGTTTCGCTTTAGGAGCGGAGAACTTAACTGAGTTAACTTTGCTGCCGAACCAAACTTTCCGCCAACTTTAAGTAGTCGCCTCTCCTCTCCTTCTCCCTTTCCTCCCTCCCTCTCTTCTTCCCTTTCTACACTCATGGCCGTTCGCTCGTTGCCCGCTGGAGAGACGAACGCGGAGGCGGAAGGTACCAGAGCAACAGCCCCTCTCTTTACCCCTTTTCCGACCATTCCGTTGTGTCCAAGGATGAGAATGCCCGAACGCCGACACCGATACTCGTCATCATAATTGGACAAGTTTCTTCTGCCTCTTTCTCCGTTCTAGTACTCGACAGATTTTTTTTTCCTTTTTCTTTTTCTTTTTTTTTTTACTGTCTTTTTTTTCTCTGCCGTTTGGCTTTCTTTTTTTCCTCTCCTTTGTTTTCGTTCATTTTTTGCATTTACAATTTAGAACAAACTCTCGCTCTCCTTTCAAGCACGGACGTTTATTTAAGCGTGTGTTCGTTCCGCGGTGTACAACTGATTTTCATTTCTGCAGAGGCCACGTTGTCCCGTTGCTTGATGCCTTGCAGATGGCGCTGCAACGACAGTGCGCTGATTTTTATCATCATAATCACGAATACCTTTTTTTCTTGTTCTTTAGTCTTATTTTATAATTTGAAAAAGTTCTCTGTTTTCTCCTGCATTTGTCGATGAATATTAAGATATTGTTATGCAACCTGAAATTGATTTTGATTGGCGAGTTAGATGTAATTTTTGAGCGTATAGAAGTTTTTTTTAATGGATAGAATTTTTAAATATGGTATTTAAATGAAAGAATTAATCGTAAATATAAAGTGGATAAATTCAAAAAAACATGGAGTAAATTAAAATATAGTTGTAATCTTTCTAATCGCAATTAAAATAAAGGCGTTATCTGTATTTAAAATTGACCTAGAATACATATCTATTCTATCCTAGAATACACATCTCAGCACTAATAGTACATCATTTTAAAAAGGTTTCCACGATGCCATATGCGTCATTATAGCGAATGTTATCGCTAGTACACTTTCTTAATAGGCTTGTTTATTTCTAGCTCGTTATCAGTAAGCATTCCTACTGTAAATAATAAAAGTTTTGTTCTAACTCTTGAATTAACTCTTTATGAATATCAATATCAATATGATCTTTATGAATATCAATAGAAATATACTTATTTCGTTATAGCATCATTATACTTTATGACTTTTGAGAAAGAAATAAAATATATACATATTTTTTACAAATACGTCAATATTCTTACTATATAATAACAAAAATCTGTGATCAAAGTAAATGTATAAGGTAACTTGGAATTAGTTAAATTCAAACTTAAGGATAATGCAGTGGTTAATTAATTAATAGTTATTTCTCCTTTTATCTAATTACATATTCATAAAACGTAGTTTCGAACGTTTCATGCTGAATAAGTTTCGTAGTGGTCGTATTATTAATGAACCTCTGGCTTAATTTATGGGATCCTTCGCGAATCTGAATTCCTTCTTTTCTTATCAGTCGATATAAAAAAATTTGCCATGATTATTATCGCAATGAAGTCGTTTGAATTTCACGTGTCACTAACAAAAACCTAGTCACCTCTCCGCGCGGTAAGTTTTGAAACAAACTTTACTTTATCGTGGCTCGATTGTAGGAAGGGAGAGAGCTGGCAGGACGAGCTTCCCTCCCACCAACGGTTCTCCGGCAAGTAAAGTTGCTCCCAGGTTAGACAATAATTGGATAACTTCGCCCTCATAGCTCCCCATCCCACCGGCAGCTTCGACGCCCCACCCTTGCTCTGCTTTCCCCTTCCCCTTTCCTCTTCTCACCGCCTGTCTTCCTCTCCGCCACCCTTCATCGTTGTATCTGTAACTCGAAAAACTCTGTTGCACACTGAGATTAAGCTAAAGGGTTGAATTCGACCGCTTAGTCGAAACGTTCGTTCTGAAAGCTTGATGAATTTTTAACTCATTCCAGAACATCTTTTGATAACTTCTTCTGGCTGGCTTCCACCAGTTTGGGAAACATTGACAAGCAAACGTACTTAATACAATTAATAACGTTCTAGAAAATTTTAATTTTTGCAATATAAATTTACAAGATTGTTTTGAAATATAACGAATGG